TATGTCCCAGCTCTGTCAGTTTTATTCAAAGTATGTGCTCTTCTAGTAATTATAGGCAAGCTGTTATACAGGAATATTCAACAGATTTTTTTTATTACCTGACTTTGTGAAAATTTTAACAGTTTAATAATGCTCAAGTTTTGGAAGTAATTACTGGTTTCTTTGAGGTAAAGCTGAAATTTCAAATGTATTTTTAAATGCTATTTTTTATGTTCAGAAAGCCCAAGTAAAAAAACTGTTTCTTTTTAGGGTTCAGTGGCATATGTTTCATTCAAAATGACAGTTTACAGGAAAATACTCTCTTTGGTGTAAATCTAAATAGGCCATACTACGAACTTGTTTTAGAGTCTTGTGCTTTACTGCCAGATTTGGGACATGGAGACCAAACAGAGATTGGAGAAGAGGTGAGAATTGGAGATGTCAGAAATGATGCAATAAGTTAAGGTATGGCTTTTATGTTTTTGTGTATTATCTATTTGATAATTTACACTGATGACTAATCAGTGCTCAGCCAAGTACATATAGCCCATCTCCTTACTTAGCTTGTTTACTTTGAACTTAACTTCTGTTCAAGCTCTGAACTCTTACTAAGTTTTGAAATGGCTCTTTTCTATCCAGAAGTTTGGGTCAGCCCTGTCCTGTTCTCCAACGGTTTCCTCTATACTGTAAAAATACCTGTATGAATGTAAATAATAGTTACTTTTTAATTTTCCAAAGTACCTTGCATTTGCCCATTTTGGAATGGGAATTTTATCAACAGAGCCCAAACTTTACTCTAATTAATTGAAAATTTTTATTTTCATATCTACTATAAAATTACTTTGATTACCTGAAAAAAATAATGACGAGACTGAGTGTGATACACTGTTCTTCTTTAGTATTTCATATTTAAATGTGGATTATTTTGGCTTTCTTTTCTTAGGGTGTCAGTATAAGTGGAGGGCAGAAAGAGAGTGAATCTCGCTAGAGCTGTGTACAGCAATGCTGACTTGTATCTTCTGGATGACCCTCTGTCTGCTGTAGATGTGCATGGTGGGAAACATCTTTTTGAGAAGCTAATTGGGCCTTCAGGTCTCCTAAAAAGCAAGGTAAAGCAGGGAGGCTTCCTTTCAATTTGGAGATGAACTGCTTTGTACAATACAACAGACACAGTAAAAGTCCCAGTCATTCTGCAAAAGCTCATCTCTTACCTAGTGTGTTGATGAAAATTATTCTGAATAAAGAGGCTAGATAAAAAGCACAGCTGATTGTGCCAATTTGAAGCCTATTGGGTAGACATAGCACAGACCGAAAAAAAGATGGAGAGCTGGCCTGACCTGGGAGTCTGAAAGATTCTACAGATTGAATTCCATTTAGTATTGTTGAAAAATTAAAGATATCAAAGTAAGTGAATGCAATATCTAGCAATAGAAAGCTGTTTCAGTGCATAAAAACTTAAAGAACTGTCTCAAGCTATTTTCTTACAAAATCATCAAAAACATGTTATTAGTAGTTGTATAGAACCTATCCAAGATCATTAGGAGGCCATTCCCCAAAGACTATTCCTGCAGTGCAACAGGTTTACCAGACCTAAACCTGATCTGTTTTTAAAAAAGCCTGTATTTTTCTTCCATAGTATATTGCATATCAGAATCAAATGTTATTGTCAAAACCAATTAATACATTAAATTCACATTCTCAGAGGTATATAGACTTAAAGTGAATGTTGTTTTCTATTTTTGTAGTGTTTTGGCTTTAATTGGAACCTCTAATAATACACAAGTGTTATTTACTATGACTTTAATACTTCCAACTCTCATCATAACTAGATTGTTGCAATGCATTACGGATTACGTCAAATACAGTGACTGTTGATTGCTGTATTCTCTAGACCCAAGGGTGGTTGTGTAATACACTAAAAGATAATTGATTTGGGTCTCACTCAAGTCTAGTCTTTAGTAGCAATATATTATAAACTGGGTTTGAAAAAGCTTTACTGTGTACAGTAAGAGATTAGTAATATTTCAGTACACTTCTAGAATTATTAACAGGAGTGTACAAGAGTTAGGATTTCAATTCCTGGCCTTCTTTTCAGTCTGATATGCTTTACGTAGGCTTAATAGTATTGAGTAGCAAAATAGCAAGAGCTGTCTCTTTTTGACTCCACACACTCTGGGTCTGTTCTCTGACATGCCATGAGTAGTCTAAAAGCGATTATGTCTATTTCACTTTTAGACAAATAGTAATGATATATGAATACATTTCATTAGGATATAATCGGGGGGATCCTACTAATTTTTTTTGAAGATATTTTAGTTTGATTCCATTTTTAAAGGATGCTTTCTTGAAGTTTTTAGTGAAACTTGCTCACAGAATCTTGATTCTTCTGTGCAATGTTACAGGACTTCTTTATAGTGGACTTACGTTTTCATTACTCTTATGAACTTGGCTAAATTGTACACTAGTTGTTATTGGAACCATTCTAGTTATCACATCTGCCTCACCACTATTCATAGTGGTAGTTATTCCCCTGGGATACTTTTATTTTACTATCCAAGTAAGTTCATTAAGCTTTTATAAGGATTTCTAGATGTATGTGGATTAAATGTCCAAAACAATCAGGGATACAGGCTTAAATTATTCCTTAATGTGAAAAAAAAATTATGTATATATATACAGAACACATCTGAAATTGCTTTCAGAAAAAATCTTCAGGCTTCTAAAAGGAAATTAGAATACTTCTTGAATATATCCTGTTATGCTTCGGAACTTTTAACAACTTATGTTTTTCTCTTTATATTTTCCTTTTTCTTAGGAAGATACAATATTGATATAGAACCTACCAAGAAATGTGATGGAGTTACCTGAAAAAATGGGATGTATATTATAGTGAAAGTTAAAAGTTGAAGGGTAACCCTGAAACAGCAGATGTAAATTAGAATGATGCCTAAACTACCTGTGCTATTTTTTGTCTAGAGTGTCAGTTATGCTACTGAGAAACCAAAAAGTAATGTTTCAAAAAGACTAATGGCTGCATTCCTATTTCTTGATGCTCAAAGTATGGTCTGTGATTAAAGAACTTAAAAGGCTCTTAAAATAGAGGAAGGAAAAGAGTGCCTGGATTCAGTCTCTGCTAAGGAATTTAAATGCAGACATCATTACATTGAAGAAATAAATGCTGAGAAAGAAGCAGGACATTCTAATTTGAAAGTTTACATAGAAGTTTTAGTTGGTTGTTACACATCTCTTGTGGTGTAGCACATTTTCTATAAAATTTGGAGATAATGTTCTTTTATTTTAGCCTTGCCAGTAATTTATATATTGCAGTTATGTCAGCATTACAATGTTGGTGTGTCCCAAGAGGCAGGTTTTTTTTCTGTTTGTGAATAGCTTTTTTTCTGTGTAGACACTTCCAACTTTTTAATAGTCAAAATTTACAGGAATTACTTAACAGATTACTTAACAAAATAAATATTGCAAATATTTTAAACAATGTAAAAGAAACTGTAGCGACTTAAAATGTCTGTTTGTCTGTACTGTTTTATTAGTGATACTACATAGCAAGTTCATGACAAATTCGACGGCTAGCAGGAGCATTGCATTCTCCTGTGATTTCCCTTTTCAGTGAGGCTGTTGTAGGGCAATCAACAGTTCGAGCAACAGAAACTGGCGGGTTTACAGAAAATATGCATATGCTGTCTGAGATGACAATATTTGGGAAAAAAAAAAAAAAAAAAGAAAAAAAAGTTTACCAATACATCATGAGCATGGACTGTACTACATTTGAACTAACAGTTCCTCTTAAATGTTTATGAATGAATCAAACTTATATTTCAGTAGTTCATGTGGAAGTAACCTGGCGTCTGTACCTACAGGCACCAGGTAGGTCTTGAGAGTAGAATCTTGGGTATAAGGAAATAAGTCCGTTTCCTCTGCTTCCTTTGTGATTCAGTTCAGTTGCAGGCAGAAATTAGCAAGAAGATTCTCAGTTCTGGTTTTCAGTCATATACCTGAATCTTTTCCAGACAGGAAGAGTAGGAAAGCAGTATGAAGAGTGAAGGGAGCACTAGCCAGGAGTTGAGACACCTGCATTTTGTTTTTAGCAGTGCTACCAGTTCTAGATATGTCATATTCCCTCCGGAGTCCATCTGTAAAATGGGAATGGTAGTACTTATCTCTTTTGTAAAGTGGGTAAATTGCTAATATAATGATCTGAAAGAGTCATTATGTTAGCAATATGTTCACTATACTATAAAAAAATTTTGTAGGTAATTCACTTTTTTCTTTGCCTTGATTTATTACAGGTGGCTATCTGTCAGGCTTGAATTTCTGGTAAATTTAATGGTGTTCTTTGCTGTACTTTTGTAGTACTGGTTGGAAATACAATGAGTTCTTCTATAGTGGGTTTATCGATACCCTATACTCTAAATGTAAGTAATGGTATAAATTTTTTGCTGCTACCACATTGCATAAGAAACGGGAAGAATACATACAGTTGAAATTGATTAGGTGAGTGTACACCATGGCATCAATGAAACTAAATCCCATGGGCAGAATAGAGTTTTCCTTTGAATTCCATTAATGCTGGGAAGCTTCACATTAATTATTTTCCACTTCTGAATTTAGATGAAATAATAATTATTAAAACATATTTAAAAATCAAGTTAATCAAACTAGGTATGGTTTATTTTTAAGTGTTTTGTTAAACCAAATAAGAAGCCTGGTCATGTACAACTATACTTCATATTTGATTTCTTGTTCTTGCTCACTTACTGAATGAGCACTTACTGTGGGAATAATTACTTAAAAGTTTACTAAAATCATTTACTTTGGCATTGTCCTTTTAAAAGTAGTATGTGAGAGCCACATTTGAAATGTGTCTTGAAGTAAGGTAAACTGTATTGATAAGTTGCTAGTTAAAATAAATCTTAAGTGTTATGTATACACAAACTAAGCATCCAAGTTTCTTTAATCTTGTGATGCTTAGGAGCCTAGTGGTGTCCAGATTCTCCCTGTGGTAAGTGCTTCAGAAACACAGCTGACCGATACTAATGAATAAAAATACAAACAAAATATATAGACAATTACCTGTCACGGCATATCCACATCACCCCCAACTCACAAGAGTTCCATTTTCTATTATTCAGAGATAGAATAATCTCCTTTATATCATCATGTACTTGGTGATGACAGTCACAGGTACTGCACAGTTTTCCACTCTCATCTGATGTCAAATTTACATCATCCTTTACTTAGTTACATACAGCATCTCAAAATGATTGACTCAGAATTCTTTTGGCTCACTTTTTTCCTACAGAAGTGGAAATATTTAACCACAGAATTGGTACCATGGAAGTGGTACCAATTCTGTCTGCAGAAGCATTTCCAATGCCTGAAGACAACAAATTTGGCAGACATGATAGACCAAATACATATCTCCATTGTAAATTCTTTGTTCTGTATTGCTAGCTTATTTTACCTAGGGAATAGTGCAATAGTGTACCCACAATATGAGCCATATATGTTTTTACTTTCAACATATCATACAATTACTGTGCACTTTCTGTTGATCCTGAAGTAGTTTCTGATTTCTGGAGCTGTTATGTTAGTGAAAATTACAATAGCCATTGGCCATTCTGAAAGCAGGCAAGAAGTGCTCAGAGGAACATTGAGATCAGTGATTTTCTAAGTGATAGTTCATTTGGTGTGCCATCATTTTCTGTACACTTTTTGCCTTCTGTGATTAAGCATCCACCTTATGAGATGATTAAATTCAGGGTAAGTTTTGAAATCAGTATATTGTATTCTAGTAGAGTCAAATTTTTACGTTCTACGATGCAACTATTTCCCCAGATAATTCGGAGTCTAAATTTTTAGGTGCATAAAGCACGTGAAATTGAGACCAATGCACTTTCAATTGCAAGAGTTTGTGAATATGCAAAAATGGATAAAGAGGTGAGCATTCTTCTTGGAATGGTGAAAATTCTTCTTGAATATTTAATTTATGTGCATAGAAAATTACTAACTTACATTGACTTTAATATTGGTGAGTGGTAATAGCAGGTTATAATTTGTTGTTAAATACTTTCTCACTTTTTTTTACATTGAGAATTACATGTAGCTTCTTTGTCACATTTATAGTCATAGCAGTTTTATTCCTTTTTTGACCAGTAAATTTCTTGGCATCCTTCTTAGCAATGGATTTTGTAGTAAGACTAATGCAGCTACAGCTCAGGTGAACCCTCTATGCTATGTGCAACCAAGAGGAGCTTTTTAAGAGGGGAAGAGAGGAAGAGAGACCTGTCAGACCCCTAACTGTTACTCACCTCGTTTCTGGAGATACATTTGTTTCAAACCGATTTGCCTTGGTTATTGTGCTTTTCTGAAAGTAATGCCCATGTCAAGTATGGAAGCGTTAAGAGCCTTGGTCTGTCTCGAAAACAAGACTTTCTTCTACATCTTCATTCTCTTTTACTCTTCCTCCATGTTTGTTTCTTAACCTTTGTTCACATCTTTCTGTTCTCTCCTGCTCTACTTCTTAAAACAAAATGTTTCTCATAAAATATGCATTTTAAGTATCTGGGAGATTAGGCATCAGGTTAAATTCAGTTCCTGTCAATTGATGGAACAGATACCAGCATCAACACAATACCAGACTATTAGCAACTACCTAGTTAAACTGAGTTTATTTTTTGAAATGAATGTATAACATGTTGTTTAAAAAAACCACAACCCAAACCCCGTAAAAAACCCAGTTGGAATGTTTCTGCCCAGTGTTCATGAAAGTAGGTTCTCCTTCCCTTATATTGCATTGGAATTATCCTAAACTTGCTGGGATTTTTAAAGATACATATAATTTTCCTAATGTTTTTATTAACTTGTAACATTTTTACCATCATATACTGAAATACCAATGGTTTTAATTCCAGGAACGGTGGATAATGTCAAAAAGACCACCAGTGGGGTGGCCCGATAGAGCAATAATAGAGTTTGTTAACTACAAGGCTCAGTACAGGAAGGATCTTGATTTAGCCCTGAATGATGTCTCTTTTCAGACACAGAGTAAAGAGAAGGTACTGTATATAATAAGAAATAAATCAGAGGTATAGAATTCTGTTTTCCAACTTTCTACTTCAAAAAGATTTCATATGAAGACACTCCAATACCAGATACAGCAAGATGATGTTAAGTGGATAAGACACTGAAGAAAAGACAAATGAGAAAAGGAAAAGTATTTTCTCCTACTGTGAAGAAATTCTTATCCCTGTAAGAAACTGAGATAATGTTTTATGAATTCGGCAGTTTTAAGGAAGATCCAAATTTGAAATTAAACCTCTTGTCCACTGTGCTGAATATTTATGTAGAGAAATACGCTGCCAGATTAGTGCTAATCAACTTTGCGTTTGGGATCAAGGAACACCAAGCGAGACCTAGTTTAGAGTCATTGGTTTGACCTGAGGAGTGCTAGACAAAAGGGAGGGGAAAAGGAAAGGATTCCCACTGAACAGGCCTTCTGAGGGAAAGCTGTGATTGTGAGTCACGTGTTCCAAAAGTGAGTTTTAAACAGTTTTACCCACCTATGGGATTGCATGTTGGTGAAAGAAACTGAAGTTTTGAACTGAAAGTTGAAACTGAATTCTCTAATCATTTTTCATATAGAATGTGTAGGATGGAAAGTTACAGTCTTCATCAGAAAACTTTCTGTTTCAGGTTGGAATTGTTGGAAGAACAGGAGCTGGTAAATCAACACTCACAAATTGCTTGTTTAGAGTTCTAGACGGATCTGAAGGCAAAATAATTAGCAATGGAATTGATATATCAACTATTGGACTCCATGACCCACGTGGAAATCTTAACATTATTCCACAGGTGAGATGTGTTTTAGATCTCTAAAAAAAAAAAGAAAAACTATTTTTTTTTTTTTGACTAACACAAGACGCTTCATTTTTTTTGGAGAAATTATAACCTCAAAGTCCACAGGCTGCCAAGAGACAGAGCCATAAAACTCCGGTAGAATTTTACTGATCTTTGAAAACAGGCTCTGTTACAGCCTATCAGGTTTTAGAATTGAATTTTTGAGAATCTTAGCTATTTGATTAGATAGTAATCTTCAGTACTGCTGGCATAATGCTATTCTGAAAAATGTCACAACTGCATGTTGACAACTATATGGAAGAAACCTCAAAACAGGGAGACCACAAGTATGACATTAGGTTTTATTATGCCAGGTTTAGTTTAATGGTCTTAGCTAGAATAACTCATGTTCTCTAGAATCTGTATGTGTATAGCTACATATGGTGTTTTCAAGTCCCACCTGAAGGCAAAAATATTTTAAAATAACTCTAATTATGTCTGAAGAATGTAGGGAATAAAGTGATGTGTACACAAATCATGTAATATGTATTTAAATTAATCTGCTATGATCTGTCACATAAAGCTGTCCCTGCTTACTTCGGAACAGGGCAGGAAACTCAAGATTAGTTCATATATCATTAGGATTGTGTTCATGCTGGTAAACTGATTTATGTTGAAGTGCTTTAGTATAGAGTAAAACCTAGAACACAAATTTAATGGTCACCTGAAGACTTTTTGGATGTTCCCTGAATGCCATTCATAAAACCATTTTTGTGCATGGGTGATGTTAACATCACGTGTAATAAATTTATGAGACATTTTCCAAAGGAAGATCTACTTTTTTTTCTAGCTTTTCTGGAGCTTTAACCCTGTAATATTTCCTGTGTGTCTCTACCATAGCCTGTGCATGGAGGCAAGGCTAATATTTAAACCAAAATAGCTTGGGTCTTTCCAAGAATGAGCTGAATAGAAAAAAAAAAGTATATATTCCTTCAAATCATAGAATCATAGAATCGTTTCTGTTGGAAGGGACCTTTAAAGGTC